CGGTGGCCTACAGATAAGCCCTGATTGGGATCCTCTTCCCTCAGTACTTTCTTGGGAAGGGCGATGAGACGGCCAGGCTCCAGCCTATTCCTGGCCGCCATCCTCCACATCATGTCAGCTCCCTTCTTCACCCCTGCTGACCCTTCTGCAGTCACCTTCTGCCCAGTTCTGAGGCAGTGGGTGGCTCCTGGGGCTGCTGTGGCTAGGCTTGACCATGGCCAGGCTTCTACTGACCACTCTGGCTCCTTCCAGATGCCCCAAGTGAGACTCTTGGGACTCAGGGCTGGCTGTCATGCAGATAGCATAATTTCCTCAAAGTGCCTTGCCTTTTGGTCAGTCTGACAAATCTGTCAAGTAAGCTTCTTTTGGGGGTCAGAGGTATCTGCATTTATGGCTTCCATGCTGGGTGGGATGAAGGTCAGTCTTGACAGTACTTTCCAGCAGGGAGGCGCTTCCTAGGCCTTTACAGAGTCCAGCATGCCCTCTCGTCTCCGCACCCTGATGCCTCTTCTGGGAATAGCCAACTGGGCTCCCCTCCGGACCTCTCTTAGCCCCAACTGGCTGTCCTGCCTGAAACCTGGAGAAGCTTCCCCCAGAGATTGCCTCTTGCCCTCGTCACACACAGCAACTGCACACCAAAGCCCACCTTCCCCCAGCTCGAAGGCCAGCCACCTTCCCCTAGCCTGGGAAAACTCTGAAAGGCCTTTCAGCTTCAGTGCCCCTGTGGTCAGCTAGAGTCTTCCTGGAAACTGGCACACCTGGCTTGACCCTCTACCTGTCCTGTTCCCTGGCAGCGACCCTGCATGGAGTTCTCCATCTCAATGTGCTTCTAGGCCTACCCTGGGGACCTGGCCTGCCCTGCCTGCTAATCCTACCACAAAGATGACGGAGTCTGCACCATGTCGTGCCAAGAAACATGTGGCTGATGATCGCCTTCATTTTCATGGCGGGGCCTGGCATTATAGGGTTGGGAACTTCAGCCACAAGGTCCAGGGAAGGAACACTCAGCTTTCTTATTTCACCCCCAGGACAAGGTCTCTTCCATTTTGCCTTTTATGGTCTGGACAGAATAATCCTCCCAAAGTGGCCAGACTTGTTGCTCAGCACACCTAACCATGTTGCAGTAGATTTGGGGGTTCTGACAGTTGTTACCCATATCTCACTCTCTGTCCTAAGCACAAACCAGTGAGCTGCACACCACTGGCTTTCCTCCCCTGCTCTCTCTGCAGGCATTGCTAGTTGGCTCCCTGTTCTTTAATTGAAAGTGCATACTTTGCTCTCTCCAGTGGAGGCAGACAGTCTCACAGGAGGCCTGGGAGCAAGGTTTCCCCACTTTGAGCCAGGACTTCTTCTGGGCCTTCTTGATCAGCCATCTATGTGAAATTGCCAGCGCAGACAGCCATGGTCCAGATGACTGTGACTCTTCGCTCTGCGCTCATGCTGCTTTGCTCTGCACCCTCAGCAGCAGCTTGGAGGGGTGGTGGGTGGAGGCTCCTACCTGGCGTGCCGCCTCCAAGCTGGTGTCTGCTTCTGGACTCTGGCCCAGAGCTGTGCTCCTCAGAACAGCAGTGCCTCCTCCTCTGGGGCTTTCCCTCAAGGCTGCAGACACCATACTGAAGCCCAGGAGATGGGAGGTGGAGTTTCTCACCCCACCTTCCACCTTACTTAACCTTGCTTCCTGACACTAATTGGTTGCGTGGGAACCAAATTCCCAAAAGAGCACAATGACTTGTGACTCAGAAGAATGGGAAGAAGAGGTGCTGAAGCCAGCTCCGCCACCAAGGACACACAGATCGCCTCAGAAACCAGCATCCTCCCTAGTGCCCTCCCCTCTGCCGGAGCACACACAGTGTGCACAGAGAAGAGTTACCAGCTCAAGGAAGTGCCTCAGGCATAGAACAAGGTCCTTAGCCAGGATTGCAGAAAGCAGACATATTCTTCACAATGCTGTTCCTGTCTTATCCCTGAGTCGGGAGATCAGGGTGCAAAGCCAAAGGTGGGTGGTCTAAGGGGGAAAATCAGCCATTTGCCCAGTAACGAGTAGATATCAGATGTGATACAGCCTCTCTCCTCCAGTACCAGATAGGAAATCATCTCTTCCACTGGTCCTGTCTACATCGCCCACAGGAATGTGCACCCACACACACACACACACACACACACACACACGTGTGTGCTCACATGGATACGCATACTCCCCTTACCACTTGCTCTGGAGCCTGCTGGCTCATTCACTCTTCCATTCTGCAAGTACTGAGAGACACACCTCTGTGAGTCTGCAGACCCGGGGCCAGGCCCAGGCAGTAGCGGGGAACTGACGACCTGCACTATGGTGGGCATGTGGAACCCTCCCTGTCAGCACGTGAGCAAGGTCCCTGGCATCGCCCAGCCGCTGAACACTGGGTACTCAGGCTTAATTGGAGTGTGATAAATAAGTGGTTTTGGGGTTGCAGTTTAGGCACTTGGGCTCTGAAAAGCCCTCCCTTATTTCCTAGGGATGGACCCTCCCAGAGTGGGCTCATAGGCAGCATCTGGCACTTCCCCCTTCTATGCTCACCTGTTCATCTTTCATTCTGCTTCCAAACATGCTCCTCCCACTGCTGGGGGGGAGGGGGCGACACTCACAGATTTTCCTAGAGGAGACCCCCATGCTCGCCCTTACCTACCCTTGCTTGACACTAAGCCCTAACATTTGGGTCCCTCAGCCTTCATGTCACCCCTTGTTTTCTGCATGCGCCTGGACTCTACTCTCTTTTCAAGACCAATGGACAAAAGAATAATACATACATCTTTGTTTTGATTTGTCTTTTTTTTTTTTAGTAGCAGAGATTGAACTCGTGATCTTGCGCTTGTCAGACATGTGCTGTACCACTGAGCGACATCCCCGGCCCTTTGTTGTGTCTCAAACACAGTGAGACGGTGTCTCATTGTGCAGTTCAGGTGGGCCTTGAACCCACTTTGTAACTCAGGCTGGCTTCAGATTTTCAGCAGTCCTCCTGCCTCAGCCTCCCAAGTGCTGGGATTACAGGATTGCACCACCACGCCCAATGGGATAAATAGGTCTCCAGAGAAGTAGATAGAGATTGAGGATGAGGGCAGGAAGGTGCTGCTTCTGTGTGACCATGAGAGCCCTCGTGCTGACACAGATGCAGGCCTGCTTCTGTGTGTCTGTGTCCTGCCTCACATATGGAGTTTGGGTGGGTGCCAGTATCTATGCTGCCCCCCAGCCTGGCAGGGCAGGGGTGTGCCCATGCATGTGAGTCTACTTCTGAGGCGAGTGCCTGTGTGTGCAGGAAAGGGGAGTTTAGGGGGCTAACTCTCGTGTATTTTTTTCCAAATGCTTGGCTTTTTTCAAAATGGCTTGGAGCACTACTGTCATTTATGGGGTTTAAAATGTCAGAACAGGGCCCGAGGGGAGGCAGGGAGATTAAACTGCAAACAGTGAAGGTTATAGATGACGTTTCTGATAGGCTGACAGGCGAGCTCAAATGATGCTGCACTTTAGCCATCATTTAAACACACACGCACATACACACACTCACACACAGACACACGTACAACCCAGTTCAGCTCTCCTATTTTAATGGCATATTCTGAAGGCTAAAAACGTAAAAGCTCGTCTAGAAAATCATATGGGAGCTGGGGATTTAGCTCAGCGGCATAAGCGCCTGCCTTGTAAAGCAGGCAATCATGAGTTCGATCCCCGGAACCGATAAAAAGGAAAAAAGACAAAAAAAAAAAAAAAAAAAAAAAAAAAAAAGAAAGAAAGAAAAGAAAATCGTAGCCTGCTCTTAGAGCTTATCCAGAGGCTGAGGCGTGTGTGTGTGTGTGTGTGTGTGTGTGTGTGTGTGTGTACATGTTCACTCAAGAGCACCACCCATGCAAGGTGAGCACATGCTTTTCTTTTTTATTTACTGTATAGATTAATTCCACCTCACTTCCACATAGCACCCTGTCAGTAAAATAGGATAATTGTGTAATGAACAACACACATCCCATCTGACAGTCTAACTGAGTGTAACAATCTGTGGAAGCAGATAAGATTCAGATGCCCATTTCACAGATGTGAAGAAGCCAAGGCTCTCCAAGGGCTGATGGGGCCCAGGACCACCCAGAAAGGCAGCGGCAGGTTTCAGGTTTCAATGCCTTTTTCCAGCTGTCCAGAGCCCCTTTCTCAAACTGTGTTCCCAACACTGGGGCTGTGTTAGAATCTGGGGGGATGGGGAGGGGCTTCAGCTGCCCAGAGACACTGCTCTGTTCTTCTAGAGCCCTGGGAGCTCTGATGAGCTGAGATCCACTGCCCCAGGGCTTGAGGCCAGGACACTGGGGTTCCAAGCCCTTCCTCAAGTTCTATCTCCACCTCAGGGTCCAGACTTCTTCTCTGAGGGCTGGGGCCTGCATTGCTCTCAAACCTCTTCCCGACTCCCCCCCCATTCAGCCAAGATCCAGAGACTTCAAAGGGTCTTGCCCAGCCAGACTCTGCTCAGGGTGCCAGCAAGGTGTACTAGGCATGACTACCACCAGGAGGAAGACTTTGTGGTCTCCCACCAAGAAGGCAGCCCCTCCTGGGTGCAGAAGGCTGCACCGGGCCCCGTGCTAGAGAAGAGTGGCAAAAGGCAGCAGCTGCCTTGGTGACCTGGGCTAGAGGAAGGCAAGCAGGAGAAGAGGGGTGACAGTGGCTCCCGCCACAGAGCCCCACGGCTGGTGCTCATGTTGTGGGCCTCGGTGGCAGGATGAAGCTGCACAGCACAGGACTCTGTAGTGCTTGCCCTGATAGGAATCCCCATTACTAGTTATATGACACCCGGATGCTGGTGTTTTCCAGGTTTCCCCAGCGACCCTGACTCAAGGCCAAGGCTGAGAACCACTCTTCGGAGGGCTGGTGGCTGAAGGCCCTCCCCAGCCGCTCCTCACTTGTCAGAGTGCCCAGAACCCCTGTTCCTCTGCTGGCAACTCTCAAATGTATACGGCCCGACAAATCTCTTAGAAGCATTTCCAACTCTCTTTCAGACATTTCATTTAATTTTTTTGTTTGAGGTTTGTTAGTTTTGCAGTAGTGGGGATCAAACCCGGGGCTTCGTGCGTCTGAGCATGTGCTATACACTGGGCAGCCCCAGTCCTCCAGCGGACCCCTTGGTTTCTGAGTGTGAAGTTGCCCTCACACTCTCCTAGCCTCCTGCCCGTCTTTGCTGGGACAGGCCCCGACCCTGCAGGTGTGCGTCCAGTCAGAGCTCAGAGTTCACTGCCCCAGGCCTATCTCACCACCCCTACCCTTTGCCACTGAGCCAAGGCCAGAATGTGGAGGGAAGGGGCTGGGGATTTAGCTCAGCGGCATAAGCACCTGCCTTACAAGCAGGCGGTTGTGAGTTCGATCCCTGGTACCGATAAAAATGAAAAAGACAAAAAAAAAAAAAAAAAAAAAACCAGAATGTGGAGGGGGATCATCTGTCACCTCCAAGTACAAACTCCCATGACTTCTCTCCTAGCACTCCCAGGCCTGTCACTCCTGTGTTCCCAGCATCATCACTATGTCCAGGTCCTCTTTGTTTGTTGATTGATTGATATTGGGAGTAGACCCTACTGCCTTGGGCTGCGTTGAGCACACACTGAGCTACATCTTCAGTCTTTTTGTCTGCTTGCATTTGGGTGGCTGTGTAGCGGGCTGGACTAACAGCTGCCCGGTCTCTTGCCTCCTAACTGTCTTCCTTCCACTTGGGGTTTTGGACTGCACTCTTTACCCATTCTCTGCATTGTCATCAGAGATATTTTTCTGAAATGCAAATTACACTGCTACAAAAGGACCTACAAGGGGACCTCCATGGTCCCCAATTCACAAGATAAAACCCTTGGCCATTAGGCTCAGACCTTCAGTACCTGCTCCTGCCCATGGGCCTCCCTCCTAAAGTGACTTTGCCAGCCTACCTGCTGCACTCCAGCAGAGTTCTCCCTGCACAGAAAGCCCTTCTTCCCCTGGCCTCCACGTTTCTCATTCTCACGAGTTAACACAGGCACTAGGTCCTCTGCAGGACCTGTCTGCCTTCCTGGTTCAATAGAGTGCTCCCTGTCAGGTCACATGGTGCTCCCACTTGCCTGACTTCACTTCTGTCTCTCCTCCCACAGTCCAGACAGAGGGTGAAGAGCAAAGGAAGAGACCCATATTAGCATCTGGCCAGACGCTGCCCTGGGGCCCTTCCCTGGGTCTGCCTCAGTGACTCCTCTCCATAAGCCCCAGAGTTCTGAGTAGCACAGCCCAAGGCCCTTTCACGGCCTGGCTGAGGTGGCAGAGGCCGTCTCCTCACGTAAGAACAGCTGGAACCCTCCAGAGGAGCCTGTGGGGAGAAACCAGGAGAATGAAAAGCAAGCAAGCAAGCAAGAGCTCAGCAATGAGCAGATGGACAGAATAGGGTGTCTGATGGTTACTGGTCAGCCCTGCCTATGGGAGCACATCCAAGACCTGCCCTCTAGCCAGGCCTGGTGACACATGCACACAGAAGGCGGGCCATGCAATTGACTTCGAGACCAGCCCGGCCTGTATATTTAAGACCATCCCCAAAGAAGGTGAGGGAGAGGGAGAGAGGGAAGAAGTGGGAGGGAAGAGGGAACAGGATAGGATAAGTGAGGAGGGCTGGACATTGTCCTCTCTGCCTCAGACAGCAGATTCAGGAGGTCCTCCCATCTCCTGCTCCTCCTCCTCCTGCTCTTTCCCTGGAGAAGGGGTTGTGCAGGAGTCCAACTCCCCCCCACCAGGTGGGCAACTGTAAAGGTGAGTTCTTATAGCCAGGGAGATTGAAGTGAGCCCTCATTCTGCACAGGAGGGAAGGGTCAAGCCATCAGTGGAACAGGGCAATGGAAGAATTGGGGCCGGACACCACCCCACAGAGAAGATGGTCTGCAGGTGTTCAGGGTGGCCTGCTGCACAGGGCCCCCCTTTGACACTTCCCTGCTAATACCATTGCTAGAGTCCTTGCTGTATGCAGGGCCTGATCATGCTGAGCAATCCTCACAACAACCCGCCAACCAGGAATGCCGGTATTCCTCTGTGGAGGCAGAAACTGTGTCCTGAAGAGGCTGTTACTTCCCCAAGGCTGTGAAACTGTTAAGCAACTGATCCAGGATTCAAAGTCTGACAATGTGAATTTAAGACCCCAGGCCTTCAACCTCCATAACATCCTTCTACACCCACAAAGCTGGTCATTATTCAACATTCGCTGGTGGTCGCCTGGTAGCTGACATTTGACAACATGCTAAGCACCGAGCAATACATTTTATATGCATGGGTTTACTCAGCAGGTAGTTGCTATTATCGCATCCATTTTGTAGACAAGGACACTGAGAAGTTAGGTACCAAAGCTAATAGGGAAAGAACTGGGGAATAAGCCTGGGGTTGAGGGGTAAATGAACGATGGGAGCACAATCTCCACTAGCTCTGTGAGCAACCTGGGGGTGTCCAAGGACCAAAGACCCTTCTCCAGGAGTTCCAACAAGGTGCCGTCACTGTGATCAAGCATCTGTGGGCCCCATCTCCATGTCTTGCCAAAGGCCACTGCAGCCCCAAAGCCTCCATCAGGTTGGGACAGAGCTGGCCTCTCTGGAGCACCTCTCACCAGCTCTACAGACTTAGGACAGTATGATGCTTGCAACCTAGTGGGTTTGCATTCCCCAACACCCAGAAAAACAGAGCCACCAGGGCCCTCTCCAGCTGGAGTTTCTGATGTCAGTCTCTATCTTGGGCATTCCTGATGGGAGTCCTCAAAGAGAGACATCCTAGCACCTAAGGGCAGAGGGCAAGAAAGAGGGAAGGAGCCAATCCTAGCCTCCCCTCCCTAGCCTCTGGGGAGCCCAGCAAGCCCCACCCCCCCAGTCGCAAGGACTCTCACCTTAAGGCAAAGGCAGATGATGGCAGAGCTGGGGGCACAGCACATCCCGCCAGAGTGTTTAGGGAATCTGAGTCCCAGAGAACAGGAGAGCATGAAAGACTGCTAGAGGAAGCTGCTCTGGGCTGCAGACACCGAGAAGGAGACAGTTACCAGGAGGGGCTGCAGAGAAAGACAGGAGAGAGAGAAGTGAGGAGGCAGGAGAGGAGGGTGGAAGAGAGGCAGAGAGGGGGAGGGAGGAGAGAGACACAGAGCCAGTTGCTTTATTCATGGCTGGTGATATTATAGACTGAGTGAAAATCACATTATCGTAATGGGAAAGTTAGAGTTGCTGAGATGATGCCCTGAAGCCTCTGCACTGATTGGGGTGTGATTGCTATCTGTATTTATATGTAGAAAGCAAAGTTCACTGCCAGTTCAAGATGGTGGCGGCTGCTTTATGCAACATAATTCTTCAGTAGGGAGACGCCCTGAGCAAGCTGGCAAGATGGGTGGGAGTGGGGACAGGGACCCGGTGGGAGCAGCGCCTGAGCGGGTGTTGGAGCAGGCACTGGAGCCAGGCAGAACTCAGCCGCTGCTGCCAGGCGGGGAGAGGGAGGAAGCCAGAGGGAAACCGAGGCAGGTGGCCTGCTGGAGGCAGGCTAGAGTTTGGGGACTGAGTGGTGAGGCATTGCCCCCACCTCCAAACCTGCCCAGAGTTGGAGAAAAGGGGGAAAAGAAGCCCAGGCATAGGTGGACCAGACCTGAAATCTATGGCTTCCAGTGGACTATCTAGCTCCACCGCATTGTGAATTCATAGAGCCATACTTACCAGGAAGTTGGGAGGCTTCATCTTTTTCTATGATCAGTGTTTGGTACTGTCTCTGTGATTCTAATGTCTTTTTTTTTTTTTTTTTTATCGGTACCGGGGATTGAACTCACAACCGCCTGCTTGCAAGGCAGGTGCTTATGCCGCTGAGGTAAATCCCCAACCCCACAATCTAATGTCTTGAGTTCCCTCTTCACCTTATGTCAAGTTTTTGGAGACCCCTGCAAGGTGACAAAGGCTGCTTGGTACTGAATGGTGGTACCTCTGACACCTCCAGTGCAGAGCTGGGCAGGAGCAGAGCGGTCCAGACCTCTGACTTGGCCCCATTCCTGAAGGCAGAGAGGGGCTGAGGGGCAGCTGGAGCATCTAGTGGGGGTCTCCCTCCTGCCTAAGGCATTTCACTCTTGGGGAAGAGGCAGGAGGGCCCCACCTGTGGCTTCAACCCAGACGGGCCAGGACTACTGGCTGAAACTTAACTTTCAGATAAACAAGTAGATTCTTGGTAGAAGTGTATCCTATGCAATATCTGAGGTACACTTATACTCTTTAGGGAAAAAAAAAACTTCCTTGTCTATCTGAAGTTCAACTGGGAATCCTGTATTTTTGTTTGCCAAACCTGGCAACCTTATACAATAATCTCAGTTTTTCAGTGATTTTGTTTTGCTATACTGGGGATTCAAAAATTCAGGACTTTTTCTTTCATTCTTTTTTTCTTTTTTAGGTTTGCTTGAGACAGGGGCACACCAGCCTTGACCTCCATATGTAGTGTAGGCTGGCCTCAGTCTCATCTGAGTCTTCCTGCTTCAGCTTCCTGAGTGCTGGGATTATAGGCACGTACCACTCATGGCAGAACCCAGACTTCTGCATGAGCTATTTCCCCAACCCTTTATACTTTCTTCTGAGACAGTTTTACTAAATTGCCAGGCTGGGTTGGCAGCCTCCTAGAGTGCTAGAGTCACAGCTTTGTGCCACCACTCCAGGCTCATCTCTGGTTTTGTTTCAATTTCTGAGGAGGAAAGTGCTGCTAAGTGAAAGAGCCAGATTCACCTCGTAATAGTTACATGACTTTGACCCAGCTTTTCACCTCCTAGAACCTCAGTCTATCCCAGTAACAGAAGATAATAATCCTGATATCCTAGCATTTATGAGGCTCTGGCTTCTATTGCCAGCACAAGGGACAAAAACAAACAAACAAACAAACACAAAAAACAAAACCAAACAAAACAAATCAGTCCATTGTCAGATGCAAAATAGGAAATGAATAAATATCACTGTCTTACATTCCCCCTCAGTCACCTTTTCTCCCGGTCTCTATCCTAGGTTTCCTGTTGTCAAATAGAAGGGTTATTACTACCCTGACAGCAGCTACCAGAGTGGGACATCCTGCGGGCCCCCCAGTGAGGCCAGGGGGAAGGTGGCTGACAGTGCTGGAGAGCTAACTGCAAGAGTGACTGCAGCCACTAAGAAAAAGCCTAACCGGGCCCAAGCCTAGTTCCACACACTCCCAAGCGCCTCTCCAGGCTTCCAGAACACGTGGGACCCATCACTTGTCTGACCTCCAAGCTGCCTAGTAGAGAGAGGAGGCGTGGTGGTGATGTGACCCTGGGGAAGGGCAGCCTCTGTCTGCCCAACAGCGACCCTGCCATGGGTCAGGCTCATCCTCAACTCCAGCCTCTGGCAGAGGCCCACAGCCAAAGCACAGCACTCAGGACACATGACACAGGGTCCGCCTCCCGCCTCCCTCTCAGTCAGGACCCCACAGCATGAAAGGAAGGAGTGGGAGTGAAGCAGCTCTGGAGCCACCAGGCTCTTGTGTCTGGCCCTACTCATCTGGGGGCAAGTCTCCAGCTGAGGGTATGGCTCCCACCCTCCCCTCATTGCCAGGTGGGGTGTGCACACGTGAACTGTCACCAGGAGTGGCAGGGCCTGTGGCTGCATCTCAGAAGTGCAAGCATCTCCTAAAGACATGGGTCTCACACTGACTCAGCAGGTCAGGCACCCAGGTGGGCCCACTTGGGTCTCTGGCCTGCTCCCTGCTTCCTGTTCTTTCTGTGGACACACCTGTCCCTTGCCAGAAGATCGTCAAGACTTGACAGAGTAGCGACATTCCATGAAGATGCGAGGAACCCTCTGTGCGCACAGCAGTGCCAGGCCCCTCAGGAGAGGAGGCACTTGTGACCTTCCTGCCCGCCTTTTGCCGCTGCTCTGTGCTCAGCCACACACTTGAGTCTACTGCCTGCACCATCTGCCATTCCCCCTCTGCCCAGGGTAGGGTGGGTGGAGCCCTAAGGGCAGGAACAGAGTGGGTGGGAGTGGGTAGTGTGGAGCCACCTCACAGGCCATGGAGGCCTCAGGACCTGCTCTTCCTGCTTCAGGTTTCTGGGGAGGACAGTACAACTGTATTTGGTGACTGTCTCCTGCTCCTTGCCCGCCCTTCCCCTCCCCTCCCCTCCCCTCCCCTCCCCTCCCCTCCCCTCCCCTCCTTTCCCCTCCCCTCCCTTCCCTTCCCTTCCCTTCCCTTCCCTTCCCTTCCCTTCCCTTCCCTTCCCTTCCCTTCTCTTCTCTTCTCTTCTCTTCTCTTCTCTTCTCTTCTTTCTCTTCTCTCTTTCTCGACTTGCTTTTACTCAGGAGCCTCCATGCTCAGTTCCCCACTCAGGCACCAGCTAAGAATTCAGGAAACCCACAAAAGCTCCTAAAATCTCAGCTCATTGCTGCCACCCCTTAGCCTCCAGGCAAGAGTGATGGTCTTCCTGAGGGTCCTGAGCCAGCCAAGGCACTGGCAAGGAGTGTCCACACACTCCTGGTCAGGTGTCAGGAAGTGGGGTTCTTATCTCTGAGGTTCAACCCCATGCTAGTCAGGAATTCCACCAGGATATGTGAAACCCTCAGACTTTCTGGTTCCATCCCATGGGCCAGGCCACTAAGCAGAATCCCCAAGCCCTCAAGCCAGTGACCCCAGAAGAAACCCAGGGAGGCTTTCCCACATTTCTTCCAGCTCGTTCTGTCTTTGGCCACTGGAGATAGAACCGAGGAGACTTCTTTAGGCTGAATCATTTCAGCTCTGCGGCAATAGGTTGGTCAGGTGCAATACATACCAAAAAAAAAATTAAAATCCCTGGTGCCAGGGATTTAGCTCAGCGGTTCAAGCACTTGCTTGGTAAGCACGAGGTTGTGAGTTTGATCCTTGGTGCTAAAAAAAAAAAAAAAAAAAAAAAAAAAAAAAAATTAAAATCACTACTTTGTAACAGATTTTTGTGGGCTTTTTTGTGGTACTGGGGATTGAGCCCAGGGTGCTCTACCGCTGTACTACATCCACAATCCCTTCATTTGACTTTTTATTTTGAGAGAGGGACTCCAGTTCGCAGCCTCCTCCCTCAGCTTCCCTAAGTGCCAGCTTTCAAAGGTTTTTGTTTTGTTTTGTTTTTGTCTCTTTGACACAGGGTCTCCTTATGCAGTTCAGGCTGGTCTGGGGCTCCCTTTGTAGCCCAAGCTGGTCTCCAATTGCAATGATCCTCCTGCCTCAGCCTCCTGAGTGCTGGGATTACAGGAGTGCACCACCACACCCAGCTTTTTGAAGGTTTCTGAGAACTGATCTTTGGGTGCTTTGCTGGGTTGCTGTGCTCCCATCTCTCCCTGTCCATGACTGCCCACACCTGGGAGTCTGCACCTCAGAGCATTCACTCCCACCACACAGTTAGGCATCGAGCAGGACATGGCCACCAAAATAAGGTTTCACCCTCTCTCTTCAGGACCGAGTCCAGGGGTGTCTGTCTGGTGATGTAGAGGCCATCCTTGCGGATGACAGGAGCCTGAGGACAGGAGCCTGGCTGCCACTCCCCCTCAGTCCTCTGAGTCCTCTCAAGTTTCCCTGGGACTGTGTCGGAGCAGCATCACAGCATTGTACCCATCTGCACTCCCTGCAGTGACCTACTGAGCTAGCAGAGAGTGCTCTATTCTTGGGGAGAAAAGAGAGAGGAGGCACCTGCCCCAGGACACCTCATGCCATCAGGCCATCAGAGAGGGCAGAGGACAGCAGGGCATTGGGCCCAAGGAAGCTCATCTGGGAAGACGGGCGCTGGGGGGCGACCCTGCCTGGGAACAGGATGTCTCTGAGGAAATGTTATCTGCTCACCCAGGGGCCCTGTGGCTGGGGTGGCAATCCGCTCTCGGCCCTAATCCTCTTGCCCCCCAGGGCATGTGCGTGTGTACGCGCACATACATGCGCACGCACACACACACACACATAAATCTTAATTGTGTCCGGGGCTTTTTACAGCGTTAATTAATCATATTTAGGGCTGTTTCCAGCTGTTGCTGGGGGAAAGAAGGTCCCACATGCCTGCGACTTAGGGTAAATCCAATCAGATGGAGGAATTTGTTGATTCTGCTGAGGCTGGGCATGGGAAAGACTCTTCTAATCCCAGAGCCCACAACTCGACTCCTGCTTGCCTGCTCTCCTAGAGCGGCCCTAGAAAGGAGAGGGGAAGGGACAGGGAGGCAAGGAAAAAGAGGAGGGAACGGGAGGGAAAGGGGGAGGGGAGGGGAGGTGTGGCCTTTGGAGGAGCACAAGGCTGGGGGGAGCTGAGCTGACTCCCCAGGGTCTGAGAGCTAAAGTCTGGGGTTGGGACTGTGGGGCTGACCTGGAGCTTCTGCCCCTGTATTTGGGCCATTTAGAGGGCTCAGGAGGGCTCAAGAGAGTGACTGCAGAAGGTTGGGGCTGGCTGAGTCAGAGCAGTAGATGGGCAGCACTGACCTAATCACAGCTCTGCACAGCCCACAGGGCCCTGTGGCTGGAGGAAGGGGCTGCTCCCGGGCCCTGGGCTTGGGGCCTCCCCTCCCAAGGCCCTGCTTCATTACTAGGTCGTTGGGGTTCTACAGCATGTCTCCTTTTGGAGGTCTCTTGCTTTCTAGGAGTCAGGAGCTTGATTTCAATCTTTTGCAGATATCTGGGATCCTGGGCACCTCTCCCATCTTCAGGGAGACTGACCTTACAGCAGAGAGACACCTTAGGTGATGGCTACTTTGGTTTATTGTGCTCCTGTCAAGCAAATCTGGGGAGGGGGCTGCTCAGCCTTTAGAGACCCAGATGTGAGGGGCGGAGGGCTATATTGGAGCCACTGCCCTGTCCCTCCTACATGACCCCACCCCAGCACCCCCTCGAGGCCTCCTAGGTCCTGGTCTAACTGGGTCTAAATAATTGAGGAGCCCATTATAGCCTTGCTGTTTCCTCACTGTCAACTGTAAATGCTGCACTGGTCGGGTGGGGAAATGGGGCTAATTTGAATTGATAATAGGAAACGCGGGGAAAAGTCATCTATAGTGAGTGAGGAGCGAGCGATCCCTGAGCAGATGCTAAATCTTGTATAATGAAAGAATCTGCCGATGTCAATTATGTACGAGCATCTTTGCAGTGGTTGGAGGCGGTGGGCGGGTGAGGGAACGGAGGGCTGGGTGCATCCCGTAAACCCAAACACCCATCAAAGGCTCATACATATGGAGCGGCGGAGATTACGGCATAAATTTGAATGTTATGAATGTGCATGAGGACGGGCAGGAAGCCCACCTTGGAAGGGAGGAAAGAGACTGCTCTTCAGTGCCTGTGTACAAGGGCGCTTTTGTCCTCCTGCTCCTCAGCTATGTCTCTTCTGTCTCAGCTCTGCCCACTCTGCACCCAGCTGTGTCCCAGAGGAGAAAGAGTCAGGATTTGACTGGGGAAAGGTCAGCTATGCTTCTGTGGCCTGCATGTGGACGCTCTGGGAGCTCTGCCTGAGCTGTCAGGATGAGATCTGGAGGTCACTGTGGCAGAGACACAGGGACATTTGAAACACCTCCCATGCAAACACAGTTGGCCCTCCTGCCTGATGGAAGAGTGCAGTGCTGCTGACAACCGGATGGCAGAAGGTTCCTGGAAACCGGCATAGAGGAAGAGGCCAAAAACTGAAAACCACCAACCCAGGGGGCCCATGCCTTGGCATGGCAACACCGAGGGCTGCTCTTCCTGTTCAGAAGTACAAGTTCACATTACTCCTGGGAATGTGTTTGTGTAATAGGGCCCTGGCCCCTCTGCTGGTTTCCAACCTGCAGCTCTCCCTGAGCAGACTCTGTGATTTGTGGTGCAGGCCACCCAGGGACTTTAATCTTCACCGTGACAAATGCAATAAAAGGAACAATTTGGAGATCAGAGCTAAGGAAGACACATTTACAAACCCTTCCCCAAAGGTTGGATAGGGCTGTCACCATGTGATTTGTGCCAGAGATGAAGCAGGGAGAGGGAGGAGGGGGAGACAGAGCTGGAGACAGCGCCTGGGCTGGGGCAGAGGAGGCCTCCCCAGCTCTCCCTGCCTCACCCTGGTAGGAGCACGGGGTGGGGGTGGGGTGGGGGGGTCTGGGCTGGGAGGGCCACAGGCAGCCACTGCCCCTCCCCTATAACAACTAGGGAGCACAACTCAATTACCAGGAACACAGGCCAGAACCATGAAGCTTCAGAGATTCATCTCAGCAGTTCCGAAGTGTTGGGTTGTGGGGGGCTGGCGAAGAGAGGGAGGAGGGAGAGGCAGAGGCAGAGTGGGAAAGACATCTTAATAGCAAGACAGTGACATCTCAAGTTGCAAAGGGAGCCCCTAAGAAGCCTGGATCTGGGGTAGAAAAGGGGAGAAGTTTTCCCATCCAGAGGTCAGGAAGGATCCACACAGGAGCAACAGCAGGGTTGGGGACACTTAGCCTAGCAGCAGATCTAGGGGGCAGCCAGGCAGGGTTGGCCTGGAGCTCCACAGGATGAGGCTAATTTGGGCCCTGAGAACCCGGCTGGTGGACCTGAGGTGGTAATGGCAGGAGCTGAAGTCCTCTCCCCCACTGGTCTACCTTCCTCTATCTGTGAAATGGGTGCGAGGTCAGAGGGCTTGGAAAGGACTTGTCTGACTCAGATATTGGATTCTCTGAGCCCCAGCGTTCTTGGAGCCAACAGCAGGCCCAGAGTGAGAGACCAGAAGCAACCTGCCACTCCCCCGCCTCTTTCCTGATGTCCTGGTTACTAACACCGCTCCTTTATGCGGGCTCTCAGCGGTACTCCCAGGACTTGGGTCCCCCTTCCCTTGCCTGGCGGCACGGTGTAGTGGCACAGGCCTGGAATCCCAGCACTCCGGGAGGCTGAGGCTGGAGAGCTGTAAGTTTGAGTCATTTAAGGACTTGGAGAGATCCTGTCTGAAAAGAAACATAAGGTGGGGGGGGCGGGGGCCTCAGTAAGTGGAGAGGTAGGTGTCTCCAATAACTTGCTACTTCTCCCTTCCTTTCTGATCTTAGACAAGACCGTGCTTCCGGCCCTGGGCTCCAACTTTGGAGCCCCAGCTTCATCCCAGTTTCCTAACCTGGAGCTTCATCGAGGTGGGGAGTCGTTAGTGCCCCGCCAGGCACCCTCCCCACCCACCCACGTCTTCTCAAGACAAAGCCAGCTTCCGACCGGGTGAGGCCCGCAGAGGTGCTCCGCCGGCGGGACGCTGTTCCCAGACTGGGAGGTCGGTTTTCCTTCCGCCGGGGCCCGCAGGGCTCCTCTCCGCGGCCCCAGTGCCGGCGCGCCCCCCGGAGGTGACTGACTGCAGGCAGGATCGCCGCGCCCCCCACCCCCCCGCCAGCCTCCTGCCCGGAGGTGCCTACCAGCGGGAGCTAACACTGGGGCGCCCAGGGCCCGGGAGCAAAGGGACGAAATCCCGTGGGGAGCACCGCGCGGGCGGCCAGGAGCGGCTCCGGAGGACCGTGCGCGGCGGGGGACAGGGAAGCTGGGGAGCAGAGGGGCGGGCGGGCCGAGGGATGCACCTCGCTGGGCCCGCCCGGACCTAGGCAGGGACAGACCCAGCGCTCCCGCAGTCCTCGGCTGCCCCCCTCTGGGGCAGGGCAGGAGGCAGCTCGGCCTCGGCGCCGCTCGGGTCTCCGGGGGACCCGTCCTGAAGGCACCGGGGGACACGGGGAGTCCCCGGGGCGCCGGCTGCACAGCTCCAGCCGGAGCCCAGCGACAAGGCAGGAGACCATCCAAGAGGCCCAGCCTCAGCGAATCCACCCTGGGGGCTGCCCGCGCTGGCGGGCGCAGAGCCTCCTTCCTGCTTGGTCCCCTGCTTCAGGGTTGCTCTCCTCGGGACGTCTTCACAGGTACTCCCTGAAACGATGTTTCACCAGTTACATGGGCATCTTTTGCTTAGTCACGATG